ACCAGTGATCCACCAGTTATCCACCAGTTATCCACCAGTTATCCACCAGCTATCTACCAGTGATCCACCAGTTTGCAGATTTCTTAATCTAAATAAAAGACTGAATCATTATTTTCATAGATGTAGAAACGCAGACTCTGTTGGAGATGAGCAACGAGCCATAAATGCACTGGCGTGATGTTATCTCCCTCCTGCAGCATCTGGTGTTTCTCTAAACTGCCAGAGTGTCAGAACTGCCACGGACCGACTCCCCGACTGTTTGGATCAAAAGAAGCAGTGATTCTTGTGCATCTCCATACAGCACTGGTGTCTGCTGTAAGTGAAGTTGGTTTCTGGTAAAAACTGAGAATACAGCATCAGTGCAGGTCCTTCCAGAGCTCTGATTATCTCCCACATCCCTCTGGACTGATGCCACGTTACGACAACTAACCAGCTGTTTTTGCTGACAAAGGCCTGAGGAACCTGGAGCAGATCAGCGCTTCTTTGTCCGTCTCTTGACAGATTAAAAGGTGACTTCAAAGGACATTAAAGTCGGAGGATCACACTTTGAGAGTTCACTATTTGGTACATCTTCAGTCTGAACGGAAACTCATCTGACGTTTTCTGATTCTGGGTAAGTTAAAAAAAAAAAAAAAGAAAAACAGTAAAATTTCCCCAAAACCTTTGAGCCTGGAGTTCTAAAAACCTTCCTGCTGCAGCTGCTGGTCAGTCTGAGAGCCTCGACAAGTAAAGCTGTAAACTTTGGTTGCAACTCGTCCTCGTGATGCCGCCCAGCAGTAGCAACAACCCTGATGAAGACAGGAGGAAGAAGGAGAGGAGGGAACCACGAGGAGAGCAGTGGGAAGGGTCTGTGGTCATGCTCTTCATACATTCACATACATGGGAATCATAATGTGGAGTGACCATCCAGCAGGTGAGGACAAACACCTGGGATAACACTCGGTGACAGAACAACGGCCCTCCCACAAATAAATACCCACCCAGTGACATTATTAAAATACATCAAACTGCTTCATCCAGACCTACAGCAAGTCCTGACACCTACAGCCGGCATGGTGAGGAACGCTCATCTACGGTCAGAACAAAACGCTTTTATGCTTCTTAACTGTTGCTTCAAAACAAGGTGGAGGTGAGGGGAAACAAACGTGAGCGGGCGGGCGCGGTGTGCTGCTAGTTTTTCTTCTTGACGTTGTTGTTCGAGGCGAGCCGGGGTCGTGGTACCGGGACCAGGCTTCCCAACGGGACTCGACTCCGAGCCACCTCGAAGAGTTTGGAGAAGACCTGGGGAGGAGGAAGACACGGAAGCGGTCAGGTCGGCAACAAGCTGCATGCAGAGACGACCAGATTATACAGCAGGGATCTCCAGCTCCGGTCCTGGTGAGCTACTGTCCTGCAGGTTCTAGACGTTACCGCAACACACCTGACTCACATTAATGGACACAAGTCTCTACACAAGTCTGTTAATGATCCATTAATGTGAGTCAGTTGCAGCACGGAAATGTCTAAAACCTGCAGGACAGTCGCTCAGCAGGACCAGAGCTGGAGATCCCTGGACTCTTGTCCCCAAATTCTTCCTTTTCGTCTGGTACAGTAGCTGTGCCATGAAGACCAAACCACTAACTGTTCATACATGGTGCCACTAGTCCTGCAGCTGTACAGGTGCTCTCTCACTAGTTCTGTAAAGGGCTCACCTTTCGTGGGGTCCTCTGGAAGCATGAAGGGACAAAGTAAGGGGGAAGGTTTAGAAAAACAGGGGAATGACAAGAGGAACGTGACAGATGACAGACAAGGAGCTGAAGTCAGTGTTATCAGCAAAGTGACAGGTCAGAGTGTTGACGTTTAACTTTCACTGAGGCTGGACGAATACGTCTGCAAACCAACTCAACATGTAAGTGAAGCCACGGAGGTGAAGAGGACGTGACATTTACAGGAAACTCCACATGCAGGTCTCCTCACCTGCTCCCAGAGGGTTTCAGCCACCTGGTCGATGAATCCTCCCACCTCGCGGAACTCCCCAGAGTATTTGACGTACGCCCAGATGCAGAGCGATGTCAGGGCCACTCCCATCACCAGGTTACACAGCGTGGCCACGGAGCTGATGCCCACGAAGCCGGTGACCAGCGACACCACATACATGACGAACATGACGGCGAACAGCGTGGCGGGCGTCCGCGCAGCGTAGAAGATGTTCTTGCCATCGTTGTGCTTGCTGAAGTTGGTGTACGCCTCGTCCAGCTCTGCCTCCAGCTGCTCCTGGTAGCGGCGGCAGAAATCCTCGCCGCCCATCTTCTTGACAGAGCGGAAATGTCGCACGGACGCCTGCCGCAGCTCCACGTGACGGCGCTCCAGCTCTGCTGGGGAGATGTAGGGTTTGTCTCCTCCACAGACCTGAGACGAGGACACACGACGAGTTACCACAACAAGAAACTCTGCTCACTAACCAACCAACAGCTGGATCTCTGACACCCAGCCGTGACAGCCACGGTTACCTGCTCCATGCCTTTGTTGTACACCTCTTTGGCTCCTGCTACAGCTGCAAGGTTATTGGCTTCAGCCGTTGCCTGGATAACAGAAAGATAATGAACTATGAATGGCTCTTAGCAACACAAACACAGATGTGAGAAGTTCACATCAGATTCTGCAAGCTGCTTGTGCAGCTGTGCTTAAAAAGACCAAGTTTGTTTCTCGTCTCCTGTCTACTGGATTGCAAATCAGGAGCTGAACTCTCCAGCAGATGGTGCTGTTTAACGCTGAGGCTGTCTGAAGGAGAGAGTCGGCTGAACTGACCTGAAGCATTGACTTGGGGTGAGGAAGCTCCTCGCCCTGGTAGATCTTCATGTAGGCCTGAACACACAGACACACAGTGAAGGTGAAGGAAAGCCGCATCCCAACAGTCAAAAACAGTCAAAAACAGAAGTGAACTCCATGAGACAGCAGGTTTGTGGGATAGAAAAGCAAACCAAAAAGAAGCAGATATACCAGCTGAACCACCAACACGCTGCATGTTTAAAGTCCTGAAAGTGAAAATCCATTTTATTGGGTTTTTGTTTGTTTTAAATGTGAAGCTGTTCAGATGCTAACACATGTGCTTCTGCTCGCCTCCCGCTTCACAGGCCGCTGAGCTGCTATGTTCTAACAAAGGACCAATCATCACTTATAATCATTTATGGTCCTGCCACCTCACCACAAGTAAGGTGGTTATATTTATATATATATATATATATATTCCTTTCTTTCTCCTATTTAAATGACCACATTAAAAACACTCATCAGCATCACCTGTGAAGCATCGCATTGTGCTAAACAAGTATTGCCAAGATGTGAACTAGCTAAAGGTGTGATTCTTACAGACCAGGTGAGTTGAGTAAAGATGTGAACTCACTTTAAAGTAGTGCAGCAGGTCTCTGCAGGTGATTTTGACTCCTCCGATCTCTTTTTCCACCAGGTTTTCTGGAGAGAGCAGCGTTGGGACCAGGTTCACCAGCTCCTTCTTAAAGTCCTCGTCGATATCTGACACACATCAAACACATCTCAGAAAAGCCGGCCGCTTCAACAACAGCTCACAGAGTTCCAAACGCTGGTGTAGACACTAATTAATCATCAACCCAAAGTGGTTCTGCCAGGCTCAGGAGAGACTGACTGCCTGTGACCGTGGACCTCTCAGATGAAAGCACATGTTCAGGGTCATCCTCTGGTTCCCAGCGGCTTTGCACAGCAAAGACTTGATAGCAACAAAAAACAGAAAATCAAACTGCAAGCCAACCAAGTATTTCTTTCTGGAGCTCCTCCAGCAGTTTGACATCAGATCATCAGTCAGCTTTACGTTCATTCTGATGGGCAACAACAATAACAGAACCAGCAGCCTCATCTGTGCTTCACATGTCTGATGATAGACACCAGGGGCCTCATTCATCAGCAGGGCCTACAAACGGTTCTAAATGACATTCAGAGCGCAAGTACAAAACAATCTGTCCGTACGCGGGTCGCAGCACATCAGTGTTGGTAAATCCCACTTGTTCTTAAGCTCCATGCTCGTTGCCTTCAGAAACGCCTCCACATCACCATATATGTGTATAAGTCACAGCAGAGAGGTTGGGTTTGTAATATTTCACAACCAGTGACAGGAGTCAACAGTAAATAAGGCCTGAAAACAATGAAGTCCACCATAAAGCTACAAGCTGTGTGTCTGCAGTCAAGAGAAAACGTCTAATAACCGTCTACAGCCTTGTTCCAGACGTTCTGTTTAAGGCGCAGCTGTTCTACTGCTTGAAGTGCTTTTGGTGACTGCTGTCACTGTGGTGGATCTGCTGCTCGGACCGGCTGACCGGCTGTGCCTGCGTTAACGTTTTACCTCTGAGCCGGCCGTCGAAGTGAGGATTGGTGGCCACCTTGAGGCCGGGGTGCGGCAGCAGAAAGCAGCTGATGTTGGAGAAGCAGGAGTGGATGTGTTTCCTGACGTTCTGCAGCTCCTCGTGCTGGTTCTGCTTCACCTGTACACAGACACGACTCGGTTACAGCCAGGCAGGTCAGCTCATGTCAGACTGGGGCACAAGTTCGCCTGCAGGCAACACGCACGATGTGTAGCTTAGAAAGGTCCAGCCGATAGAGCGATACCTGCACGCCTTCATCAGATGTAATAGGACAAATGTTCAGTAGTTTTACATAAATGCATCAGATGCAAACTGCCATGAAAGCAGACACAGAAACACACACTGCAGTTGCATACATGAAGCCCAGCTGTCCTGGACTCACTCATTTCTGTGTGTGTTTACTCAGCTGGGTTCCTCATCGGTGTGGGAACGTTAAAGCTCTGTCTTGACAAACAGGCTGTGATCAAACTCAAAGCATTTTGTTCTGTGGGTCTTAATAAAAAGAGGTCATGAAAGATGATCCATAATCATGTTGAGATGAACCATTGAGCTGCCCATCACTCTGCCTGACGCTACAGGCTTTGGGAGATGGATTTTCTCTGTTTGATGGAGCTGAGCTCTGGTGGTCAGACTCACCTGTAGTCGTTTCTCCAAGAAGCTGTGTCCCCCCTCCAGACCATATGAGTGCTCGTAGGGGTAACTCCAGTCTCTGATCAGAAACATCAGAGTCTGAAAAGATTCACACATTCAGATTTTTGATCCACAATCAACGGGAACATTTCTCACTAACGTTGAAGCAGCAGGATCAGACATGAGGACAAAACATAAACTTCCAACCGCTTTAGATTTGTTTGTAATATAAGTAATTATACCAGCTCTTCAATAACTAACCTAGAATGTCTGTCAAACAGCAACCCCAAGAGAAGGACATGGCAAAGCTTGTTCTGACTGTTCAGGTTCTTAAAACCAAGAACAGCGCCTCCCAGTGAAAGCTTCAGTAGCTGCTGCTAGGTGGCAGCAGTGCGCTCAGACAGGTGGGACTAAAGATGACTTTGAAAAGAGGAAACTAGGTTGTTCTAGTGTCAGATCTGTCCCAGATGAAACCGAGTGATTTTTCTTTCCTGGTTCTGTCTGTGTCGGACCTCACTTTGTCCGCCTCCTCCTCCCTCAGATCACTAACTTTTAACTTAACCAGGCAGAGCCAGACCGACAGAGCCACCCAGGCTACAGAAGCACTACTGTGCACCACTGTGGTCACCGCAGTAGCTGCCTGTGGTCACAGCTTCATGATCATCATGCACGAGTACCAATGTGACCAGATGACATTATAACCAAAACAAGGTTGCATCTGTTCAGAAGACATCTTCTGTGACTGTGGGACTAAAAGTCCGGTCACGTGCTTAAACCTGCAAAAGCAGGTTAACGCTCTAAACATCGACCGTAATATGTTGAAAACACGGCATACAGACCTGGAAGGGCTTCTCATAGACTTCTTCCATGGCCAGGCGTCCGTACTCGGTGAAAAGCTGAGGGGAGGAAACAATAAGCTTAAAATGTCATCAGACAGTTAAGAGAGCAGTGAGGGAACAATATGTGCATCTCTGATGGTTAAAGTCAAGGTCACGTCATTAATACCCTGTTTTGCAGAAAAACCAAATGATAGCGTTTGGCAGTCTGGAAACAAAAACAACAGATCCAACAGTGATCTGGCCTAATCCAGCCTCATCCAGCCTCATCCAGCCTCATCCAGCCTCATCCGGCCACATCCGGCCACATCCGGCCACATCCGGCCACATCCGGCCTCATCTAACCTCATCCGGCCTTAATCAGCCTCATCTGGCTTCCCCGGCCTCATCCAGCCTCATACCGCCTCATCTAACTTCATCTGGCTTTATTCAGCCTCATCTGGCCTCTCCGGCCTCATCGAGCCTCTCCAAGCCTCATCCGACCTCTCCTGCCTCATCCGGCCTCATCTGGCTTCATATAGCCTCATCCGGCCTTATTCAGCCTCATGTGGCCTCTCCAGCCTCATCCAGCCTTGTGCGGCCTCTCCAAGCTGCCTCATCTAGCCTCTACGGCCTCTCCAGCCTCATCCATTCTCTCTGCGGCCTCTCCAAGCTGCCTCATCTAGCCTCTACGGCCTCTCCAGCCTCATCC